AAAGTGTGGTGTGGGCCAGTCAGCAGCCAATTGGACCATGCTGTGGACCATGTGAGCAAAATGACAGACAATGAAACAGACCACCATGTCAGCTGACTAAAACAGTAATAGYATAGACTTAGTCACGATGAGCATTCAATGAACAAMATAGGCCACGTATGCATGAGGAAAGGACAATCATTCACACTCCATGCCAGTCGAATGGACCATGTTACAGGCCACTTCAACCGCAGACCTTGCAGACAGCAGGCCACATCAGCAGCAGACCACATCAACAAAAGACCACGTCAACAGCAGACCATGTCAGCACCAGACCATGCCAGAAGAAAGGATCGTAGGCGGATCGTAGGCGTTAGCTTTCTCGAAGTGTTGCTCGAGGAACCATTCACAAGCTCGAAAGCTTGATCACAGAATTCAGAAGCTTGATTGGTGAGTTGGGAAGCATCCACGTGCAGTAGCATGCAGCAAACAGACCACGAAAAAGGCAGGTTTGCCGCTTCAGGGTTACAGACTCTGTTTGGGGCAGGCAGGGGTCGGGTTGAGAGCACACGGACCTATGTCCCCTAAGTCTTCAGCGAGTGCCTGCCGAATGACTTCTCGGATGTCGTAACATGGGTGAGACGGAGGAGGAATCTTCCAGTTGCTCTTGTCAACATCAGCAAGCTTGGCATGATCAGGAGACATCGTCAGGACGTCAATAGAACCAGAGGCCCTGGAAGGACGTAAGAAAGAAACAGCCCACAACAAGGCAATTCACCGCCATGGTCCAAAAATAGAAACGTTCCCATACACCAGCGCACTGTCAGTGCAGCACAGCAATTCCAAAGGGCATGTTGCACAGTATATATTATATTTCACTCGCACTCGGACTTTCCAGGATGTATGTGACCGGATTTTACGTTCAGATTGGGTCCAAAAAGTGCACAGTGTGTGTCTACAAAGTCCTAAGAGCTCGGGACATACAACAAGCTTGGTCTTTTTTGTACCGAACATTCAAAAGAGCATTTGCAACCTAGGCTACCAGCCGGGCTGCCCGGGTCACCCTATTTTCCCGGACGGCCCGGCCGTGCAAGGACCAGGGAAGATCCTAGCAAAAACAAAAAGAAATCAAAAGAATGCGGAAAAAAAACTATGTTATCCATAAAAATAAACTGAACAACTTTTGCCTCAGGCTCACATCGAAATTCTTTACCATATTTAAAATAAAAAATAAGAACTTTTTTTTTTTTTTTTTTTTTTTTTTTTTTTGGTCCGGACGGGTAAGTGACCCCGGGCCACTCTGGTAGCAAAGCTTAAACCCTATAAAGGTCAGTTTTTCCTTTTTATTCTCTTTTTCTCAAATAGTAGCCTGACTAAAAAATAAAGCACGGGCATTATATTTCAATGCTTTATGGGCAGAGTGCCTTGTAGAGGTAGCACACATGGGTTTGAAAGGGCGGGGAGGGGAATATACA